CTTTTCTGTTGAAGTTTTTGTGCAAATAATGCACTGAAAGTAAAATACAGTATATTATGTTTTACCGGTTTATTGTACAAAAGGTTTTCATCAATTATTTAATAACGTTATGATAAGAGTATGAATTTTTTTAACAAATCTTAATTCACTGTTAATACCATTTATTAGATTAATATTAATGCAGTTTTCTAAAGAAATTTTGCCAAATTTAATATTATTACAAATATTTGTTTTAATGTAAACTTCAAAATAAAATTCATTAAGATTTTAGCAGAGATTTATAACAAAACTTTAAATAATTAAATTACCATCCTACACTGAATTATGCCATTATTCTAGAAGTTAATGCCTTTGACTGATTTATAACAATAATCTATTAATGTGTAAAATAATATTAATATCTCTAATCATAATTTTAATAATTATTTCTGTAATTATTTGCTAAGAATAAAGATAAATATTAATTTCCTATTATTTCTATTTTGTACAATTTTTAAATATACATTTTAAATATACATGTATATTAAATAATAAGATTTATTATTGTAAAATTAAATGATTAATTTTCCAAATGTAAGTTTCAAAATTATGATAACAAAATTAAAAACTACTGTATTTGATTAGACATTGAATAAATTTTGATTGATACCTATATTTATAATCAAAATTTTAATACAACAAACAATTTCAACAATTGTATGACTTTTTTGAATAATAAATTTCATATTATTTTAATGTTTTAAAATAATATAATAATTTATAAGAGTTTTATACGTCATTCGGATCCGTGTTTGATAGCATTTTTGTCAATAAATATCAAATGTTTGATTGAAATTATACTAATAATGCCTATTATTAGAATATTTTGCGCTCTAATTGTAATAATATTAAAATATTTGTTTTTAAACAAATTTAACAAATGAGTGCCCGGGAAGAGAGTGCCGTAGGACTGGATTTTATGCCATTACTGTATATACAATATTTATGTATACAATATTTGATGGGAAATAGCATTCAATTTATTCATTCGTCAATTCATTTACAAAAATGTTATATAATTATCATTAAAACCACTTTATGTAAGACAAGGACATCGCTCTCGACTTTCAATCGTATTTCATATGTACTGTCATTATCTCTATTTAGTTAACGTAAAAAAATAATATACAGTATATCTCGAAATATATTTATTTAAACCCCGGAATATAATTAAACTAATTGCTAATAAATAATATTTAAAAAAATTAATCGTTGATTTAAAAAATAAATTATTTGCTTGTTCAAAATATTTAATATTAAAATCGTTTATTAATTAAAATAACAATTTATAATAAATTTTATTAACATATAAGGAATCCAGCAATTGGTGGATGACATTGATTGAGACCTCTAACAGAACATGTAATTTAAAGTCAATTATCTTTTAAAACGATAAAAACTATGCATTCAAACAAACAAATGATAAAAATTGCATTTAAATTTAATGGCATTGTATTTGGCTTTGAAAAACCCGACATAAAATGAGACGACTATTTATATTTACTGTTTAAATGTTACCAACATTTTATGATCTCAAACACCTTATAATTGTTATTACTATTACTATTAGTATTATTTGTCGGAATTCTAAAACATAAAACTGAAATCAATTGCAAAGATGTGTGAAATAAGTGTCGGAAACATAACTCATGTGATCTTTGATTTGGACGGAACCCTCATTGACACAGAACTCTGGGGTTTGACTAATGTTAACAAAATTCTGGCCACTTATGGTCACTCATTGTCGCAGCAAACGTACGGCCAATACATCGGTTTCACACCTTTTGATAGGTGTAAACGTATTATCGATGACTTGGCGTTGGATTACGACAACCAAAAGTTTCTCAATGATTGGATCAACGAATGCCTTAAGACAGTGACAACAATACAACTGATGCCTGGAGTGCGACGGCTTGTGGAGCACCTGTACTCACACGGCATACCACTGGCCATCGGCACAGCCGGCAAACGGGCCGAGTATTACCCAAAGACCGCACATTTGGAGGACCTGTTTGTTGAGGGAAAGTATTTCTCACATGTGGTTCACGGCGACGACAAACGGGTGAAGAGGTCTAAACCATTTCCCGATCTCTTCCAAGTGTGCGCTTCACTCTTCACGCCATCGCCTGAACCGTCAAATGTGTTGGTATTTGAGGACAATTTAGTGGGAATATCGGC